CTTCTGGGAATAGCCTCAAGATATCAGGCTGAAACTTTCTGGGAGTCCTGGATTCTAGTTCTGCCGCCTTTCACTTCGGCAGAAAAGGACTATAGGTTAGTGTTGGGTGTTACAAGTCAAAACACTTCAGTATTTACAGGGTTAATGATGTTTGTTATGATCAACAGGAAGTCACATGTTTGTTTGTAACCAACCTGTTTAGATAATAGAATGCCCGGGAACTTTGGAGCTAACTTGCTAGTCTGATTGGAAACCAAGGTGTCAAGTATTTAGCATATTGGCTTCTCTTTCCTCTCTTTGTTCTGACTGAGAAGGAGACACCATTCTCTTCCCGTTTTACCTTTTAGCTGTAAGGATGTAGCCATATTAGCTCTTTGTTATTTTCATATCCTGTGTACCTTTTTCCCATGTTAGGTTTATAGTAAACTTTTATATGTTAAAACACACCATGGACTCAGTCTCTTAATACTCTGCTGACTTACTCAAAAAGAATCCCAACAGTTAGTAGTAGGAGACATGCAGAAGATCCCATCCCTGGTACCTGGGATTAAAGAATCTCAGGTAGTGGAATTAGTGGTAGCAGAATTAGTATTTGGGGTAGACCGCTTAATGGACAAATAGTCTAGCTTGGTCCGCTGCATAGCGACCCTGCTGTTCCTTGGTAGTGTCCCATCCAGGGGTCGTTTCGTAGAAAAAGAGCTAGGGGAACTCATTAGCATAACTCATTAGCATATGCTACACCCCCTGTCATTAGCATATGCCACACCCCCTGACATCAGGGGCCCGGCGGTGGACCTGCAAGGCCGGCGGGAGTGCAAGGAAGCCCCGCGAAGGCCCTCCCTGGCCCCAGGCAGGCAGGGGTGGGGAGAGGCAGGGAGGAAGCAACTTACCCTCCCTCTTCTCCTGCCTCCTCCTGGCTGAATGAGGGCTGGAAGCGGGGCGGCCGGAAGCAGGGAGCGGGGCTTCATCATGTGCCCCGCCCCCTGTACCTCACCCGGCAGAACTGCGATCCCCCGCGATCCCCCCCGAAATGACCTCTGGTCCCATCCAAGTACTAACCAGGGACTCCTTAGCCCGAGCCATCCAGGTTAGGACATTCTAACCTAGGGGTTCTCAAACATGGTTGGGCCCTCTTCAAGCACCACATAGACCAAAGCAAAAAGAGGCAGTTCTCTGCCATCAGATTAGGCAATTCAGTGCAGAAGGGGGTGAGTGGAGACATTTACGCTGGGTCTGAAATTCTCAGAGACAGGGCTGGGCTGACTTAATGGTCTCCACTGATGCATATTATGTTTAGAAGGCCATTGTGCATGCTCTGATGGTGCATACTCTTAACAGTTTAAAGCATAACTAATGGTGCTTAGTGGCCCTGTGCAGGCTTGCTTAAATACAGAAATGCCTTGCGGAATCAGAAGAAAGAAGCCCACTGAGCACACAGCTGTATTTGTGCATTTTTAGAAAAATCCCAGCGAGCAGTAGGCGGTCCCACCAGCCTCTAGCCAGCAGCTTACGTGCCAGCATCTCCGCAGAGAGCAAGTACCCATCCCCTTCCCTTATTCCTTCTGAGTCACTTTGGTGTAGTGCTTAGGAGTGCGGACTCTAAACCCGGGAGAACCGGGTTTGATTCTCCACTTCTCCACATGCAGCTGCTGGGTGACCTTGGGCAAGCCACAGCTCTCTCAGAGCTGTTCTCTTAAGAGCAGTTCTCTCAGAGCTCTCTCAACCCCGCCTACCTCACAGGCTGTCTGTTGTGGGGAGGGGAAGGGAAAGGAGTTTGTAAGCCTCTCTGAGACGCCGAGTGAAGGGCGGGGTATAAATCCTCTTCCTCTTCTCTTCTGCTGTTCAAAGTGCTGTTGCAAAACTCCCATTTTGTTTCTCCTCAGAGTTTTGGACTCCCATGAGTGACCTGCTGCTGTCTGTCTGTTTTGCCTGCACAGGCAAAGGCCCCTGCTTGTGTTTGCCATCATAGTCGGATCTATAAAAGCAACAGCTTTTAACCAAAGAAAAGGACTAAATTAAGCACACGGCCATGAAGCATATTCATGGCGAGGTTAAGTTGAAGGGCCAGGACGCCTTCATTCTCCTCTTGCTGTATTACTCACATGAATTTAATTCCTGACACAGCACAATTCATACAGATTGAAAGCCCCTTCTAGTGGTTGCTCAAATGATGTCACCAGCATGTTGTGAAGGGGTCATTAAAGATTATGCATGTATTCTCGTTAGAGTCTAGCAGGCCTGCTTTCTCCCCCCCCCCCCGCGCTATTAAAGCTTGGTAGAAAAGCAGTTGACATTATTGCGAGAACTGCTTGATCAACTCTTGCCGGGGTGTCGGGGAGAGCTTCTGACTGCATGTGCTTAGGCCCGGTTAAGATGCCGCTTGGTACCTGCTCGGTCTCCTCAGAGCATAGAGAGCTGATGCAGGCCCCCAATGTAGTTGGTGTCCCAGCGAGTTGCAGATTATACGAGCCATCGCACCTATGTGTGGGGGTCACGCAGCTGCTATAAGCTGCAATTGCCACACATACCCCCCCCCCTTTGGAGGTACCAGTTCATGTAGCAACTCCCCTCCGCATGATGTCGGCTGTGTTGCAAGCCTGCTGCTTGCTCTATGCATTCTCCGAGCAATCATATACTGGCCAGGACGAATTTAACTGTGCCATAGGTTAGGAATGTTCCATTGCTTAGAGCATAAAGTGGGTTTATCTTCCTCATGTCAAAGATGGAAGGGGGATGTAAAGAAGCTTGTGAAGGGTGGGAGCATATGTAGGCAGAACAAGTACATTTCAGAATCTTTGTTCCGCCACATTTCTGTAATTGTAACTAGTAAATTAGGGTTTCCATATTTTGAAAAGCAAAAGAGAAGGATCTATTTCCTGACGGACAACTTCAAACAAATGATTGCTGTGACAAATCTCATTTTAAAGACTCCCTACTATTTAAGCTGTGGTAATTGCTACTAACTAGGAATCCTCCTAATCAGTGCTCCCTCTAAGCTATGGAGTCCTGTGTGCAAAAATTCTACTTTGTGAGCTACTGGCATTAAAGCTGTGAGTGAGCGATTTGGCTGCTGCATAAATTAGTTCGCTCTGGAGCCCTTCTTCCTGAGCTGAGACAAAAATGTGTGAGCTGGAGGCTAAAAAACTGTGAGCTAGCTCACACTAACTCAGCTTAGAGGGAACTCTGCTCCTAACCTTCCAACCCAAAAAGAGAACATTTTCATCAGTGTCCTAAAAGAGCCCAAAAGAGGACAGACGCACTCACACACAAAGAGGTAACCCTAAAGTAAATAATATTACAGTGCCATCAAAGGGTAGACACTGCACGTTTAAGATGCCCTTCATGTTACGACTTCGGGATGGTCAACGATAAGCGTGGGTTTTCATCCAGAGTTTAGTTCATACATGTTACCAGACAGTGATTCAGCGCACAGTGGTGCCTGGAGCTGCACACAAAACTTTTTAAATGTACAAAAAGTGTTATGGAGTAATTCTGTTGATTACTTATTGGTTTTTGAGCTCTGATCTAGGAGCTGGTTCTTATCTTTTATCTGGAACCCACATATCTCAAGGATGGTCTGTGTCCCTTTGGACTTGTGCTGCAGTTATAGTTTTCTCAACAACTCCTGCTTACTCATGCTGCCCCCTCAGAGAGTTTGCTCTTCTTCAGTCTGGGCTAGAGCTTTTTCAGTTGTAACGCTGTAGTCATGGAGCCTGAGGAGGTATGAAAACTGCCACCCCAAATGATTTCTGCAGATAACGTTTCACCAAGGGCTTTGTGTTGATACTGCTGTCCAAGAGCTCTTTGTGATACATTGCATCATAGAACCATAGAATGTTTCTCCCTCAGAGTAGTTCTAATATATTTAAGACAATGGGGGTCCTTATTCTTCTACTTTTCTAACAGTCCCTGAGATAAATCACTGACTCCCAAAGTCTCTTCCTTCAGAAGATTTCAGACCAAGAGCAAAAGCGTCTCAAAAGGCGAATGAATCTTCTCCCTCCAGATCTGCTGTTTTATGTGCTCTCTCACCCAATGCTGGCCAATCAGAGAGTAAGTAGAGCAGCCAATCACATAAGCTCTTCTCTCCAGGGAAGATTAACTCCCTGACTCTCTGACACAAGCAGCATTTTAAAAAGCCTGCTTTTCTTTACAATCCGTCACACATGCCTTTTTACTTTGCTTTTTCTTCTTTCCTTTTGTGTATAATTCGGTGATGCTTACTCTGTATGTTGTCCTTAAGACCATAATAATAAACTATACTAATTTGGTGATGTGTGAGGACCAGCAACTTTGGATATCTGAGTTTCTCAGCTGAAATAGAATTGTACTAAATAAGGCCCAGATTCAATAGAGAAGATCATTTTGGTGGTGGGCAGGTGTTTGCAAAGGGCTGCTGCTACTGCTGTTGCTTTAATGCAGCCCTTGAGAAAGCCAGTGGCCATTGGATGAGTTTCCAGGTGCATGTGTGTTCTTGTGTCATATCAGGGCTCAGTGATATGGGTTTCTTAATGAGTAGGTTTCCATGCTGGGTACCAGCTATTTCAAAACACATAAAGGTAGAGATAAAGGTTTCCCTTGTTCGAAAGCCAGTTGAATCCAACTCTAGGATTGCGGTGCTCATCTCTGTTTCCAAGCCGAAGAGCCAGTGCTGTCCGAAGACGTTTCCGTGGTCATGTGGCCGGCATGACTAGACGCCGAGGCACACGCTGTTACCTTCCCACCGAAGCGGTACCTATTCATCTACTTGCAATTTCTTTCTTTCGAACTGCTTGGTTGGCAGGAGCTGGAACCAGAGACAGGAGCTCACTCTGTCATGCGGCAACTCAGGTCTCGAACAGCTGAACTACCGACCTTCCACAGCCTGCAGTTCAGCGTCTTAACCACTTGAGCCACCGCAGCTCCTCAAAACACATAGAAAGACATTTAAAATCAGGAGAATTAGGCTTGATCTCTTTTCCTGACTCTGGGTTTGTTTTTGTTTTTTTCTTATACGACAGGTAAGGCTTTGACATACCTTCTGCTCCAGCCTCCCAGCCTCAAACTTCCTCCACACAGCACCATCAGGAGAACCGCCATTGATCTCATAGGACGAGGGTTTACAGTGTGGGAGCCTTACATGGACGTGTCCGCTGTTTTGATGGGCCTGCTGGAGCTCTGCGCAGATGCTGAGAAACAGCTTGCCAAGTACGTACTTCTTTCCCTTCAAATTACTGGCTGGGAATGCCGTATGGTGATGTACTTCATTTGTGGAATCTGGTGACACTGAGTTCCTGTTCGTGGGAGGGGGACCTCTTGTAGGGTTGCCAGTCCCTAGCTGGGGGCCGGGGATCCCCCGGGTTTGTGGGCTCCTGCCCACCGCTGGCCAACTGGCCAGCAGGAGGAAATATCCCCTCCCCCCAGCAATGTGGAGCAACATGCCTACGTCACCTGGAAGTGGTGCAGATATGTTGGTGACATTGGGTGACGCTCTGGTTTTTGGGCAAAACTCTATGGTTTGAGGACGATTTTAGTGCTGTGTTTACTGCAGTGTAGTACATGACACACACACACCCAAATTTGTTACATCTTCAGACGTTTCAGGGATGTGTGTCACCAGGAAATGGCTACCATAGTGGCAGGGACAATCATAGGATTGTTGAAGGTAGTATTGGACTAATTGCTGCGGAGAAGGTACTCTGCTTTCAATGTCCCAAGGAAGAGGGAAATGTACTCCTTCACAGCCGTGAGGAGAGAATCGCAGGTCCATCCAGGATGAGCTCAGCATGTTGCTAGTCAGTCAGTCAGCAGCTACAGACCCGTCTGAAGCTCCCTCCCCCCCCCCCCGCCATCCTTTCCTCCCTTTGCATTTCTAAGCTAAGACTCAGCAAGCAAATGGGTGCCCAGAAATTAATTGGTGGGCACTGTGGCTCCTTTGGGCACCATGTTGTGGACACAGCTAATGCCAGACTGACTTATTTTAGCAAACTCCTGATGTTTGCGATCTGGTGACACAAGCTGGTTTCCATCCTGGTCTTAGCATGTTACACGCCATAAAGAATACAATGTGGGCTCATCTGTTGTCAGCAGGTTGATGTGTTAAAACATATGCAGCATCCAAAGCAGCCAGTTGAGCTAGATGACTTTCAGATGCTGCCAGGACTATGATTCTATGACGCATAACACTGTCGGTAGCAAGTTCTACATACTCCTGCCCTAAATCAGATCCTGCCCTTTGTGTTTTATTGGGAACCATCATTTTAAGAGTTCCGGTTAGCGGGGATAGCAGAGAAGCCTTTATCTGTACGTTTGGCTTAACCATTCATAAACAGATTTATGGACAGTTAAAAATATCAAGATCAATGGGAAATCAATGGCAATCAACATCAATGGGAAATCTTTAAACACTTGACAAAATAATTAAAAAAATATTTAACTACTAACTTTTGAACTACAAGTTGTTTGGCATCTGCTGCTGTTTCTTCAGTTCTCTGGCAGACATGAAACTGTAGTGAATGAACTTCAGTCACAGACCTGTACTTTAAGTATATTTAGCTGTAGTCTGAATAACATTCATCCTGGTGATGGGTGGAAAGTGCCATCAAGTCACAGCTTACGGTGACCCCGTAGGGTTTTCAAGGCAAGAGACATTCGGAGGTGGGTTTGTCATTGCCTATCTCTGTGTCATGGCTCTGGAATTCCTTGGAGGTCTCCCATCCATATACTACCCAGGGCCATTCTTGCTTAGCTTCCGCCAAGATCGGGCTAGCCTAGGCTATCCAGGTCAGGTCAGCATTCATTCTACAGAGAATTGATCCATAGTGGTAGCCAGTGTTCCCTGTAAACTGAGTTAGTGTGAGCTAGCTCGCAGTTTTTTTAGCCTCCAGCTCACACATTTTTGTCTTGGCTCAGGAAGGATGGCTCGAGAGCAAACTAATTTATGCAGTAGCCAAGTCGCTCACTCACAACTTTAATGCCAGTAGCTCACAAAGTAGAATTTTTCCTCACGAGATTCCACAGCTTAGAGGGAGCATTGGTGGTAGCCAGTGTTCCCTCCAAGCTGAGTTAGTGTGAGCCAGCTCACAGTTTTTTTAGCCTCTGGTTCACACATTTTTGTCTTAGCTCAGGAAGGATGGCTCCAGAGCAAGCTAATTTATGCAGCAGCCAAACTGCTCACTCCCAACTTTAATGCCGGTAGCTCACAAAGTAGAATTTTTGCTCACAAGACTCCATAGCTTAGAGGGAGCCATTGGTGGTAGCTTTTATTTTTCTTTGCGGAAGTGTGTGTGTTGTTTAAGGCACGAATCTGTTCCAAATTTAATCTGAAAAGTAAATGTAATTTTATATCCGTATAATCCTGTGAGTCCTAGCTTTATGAAAATACTGAAATTGCGTTAGTGGTCCCTCATCTCTCTCATCCAACTGTAGCCCAAAATTTCAGGGATAGTGAGGAGAAAAGCAGGGAAACCGAGACAGATTGTTTGTTTGATGTTTACTATGGGTGTTTTTATATGTTATGCAATTAGCGATGAGCTGAACTTCGGCACTATATTCACATGCTGCAAACTGGTGGGGCTTTTTCGGCTATAGGGGGAGGGGTCATTATGAGGTGCAAAGATTTAACCCCGCTTTCCCATGCTGGTGACTATGCTTTCAGTTGCTGTGTTGGGCCATTTTTTTCATGTACTTTCTCCAAAATATGGCATAGTGTTGTTTCCTGTACTTTAATATGACCTCCTGATGACACCACATAACCAATAAAATGTGTGTGTCACATCCTGGCCCTATTCTTGTGTTCTGAGGGTAAAGTTTTTGTAAAAAAATAGAATGTTGTGCCCTAAAAGAGGGAGCATGGTCAATGTCCGGACTACATAAAGGAGCAGCAAAAATGGTAAATGGGGTACATACTGCCTAAGCTGTATCTCTGCTCCCCCCTCAAGCTAAGAAAGTTCTAGAAAGAATTTTTAACAGAGGAAAATATACAGCTACAAACGCATGTTTGCTACCAAGTGGATGCTTGACGGGTATCCAGAGCCAATCCTGACTATCTGATGCCTGCTTGTGCAGAACATGTGTTTTCAAGCACTTGTTTGTTGCATACAAATCATGCCTTTTTAGAAAAGTAGTGGTACACCTAAAAAAAAGCTATTGTGTGTGGGAGGCCCCTGGGAAAGTTGCTATAGGTAGGGTTTCATTAAGCACCCTGGTTTTCCTATTATCACTCATTCTGATCTGTGGTTAGAACATAAGAAAAGCCATGTTGGATCACGCCAATGGCCCATCCAGTCCAACACTCATAGAATCATAAGTGCCACACTCAAAATAAGAAGGAAGCCCGTTACATCAGTTCATATTTCTTTTATTTGCTGAAGAGTATTAAGACCAGGCTATTCCACACCATTTTTAGCGGTGGTTATAATAACAAACAAAGTATGCAAAATTACAAAATGTCATTCAATTTCTACGCAACTTTCCCCCCAAAACAAGTTGTTAATTCAGTGTAGCAATCTTGCCATTCCAGTTCAAGGAGGATGTAACGGTTTGCTTTTTGAGCTTCTTGAAAGCTTATCATATTTGCTTAAAACAAACAAACAAACAGAGGCTCCTGAAATACTTTAATGCAACTAGCATACTCCATACAAGGGGACTCAACGATTCCTTTTTTCAACAATGCTATATACATCGTCCTATTTTCATAATCGTGTTAATGAGTTGCTCGTGTTTTCCCTTGCATGAGTGATCACAGTGATTCTTTTCCGGTTTTCAATCTGACTCAGATTTCAATATGTGTACTGGAAGACCTTTTTTTCTCCTTTAAATTCATACACTGTTCAAGCCCAGCGACCTGCAGTTACGTAATCGGCATATACCAATTAAAATGACCTTGAGGAATCTGTATAGATACTTTTGTGTATCATCCTTCCCCCCCCCCCTTACAATTTGAGTTCTGTTTCATGGAAAATATGCGCACAAGGTATTCACTCGGTTCTGAAAAATATAACCCGCAAGATAACTGAGAATACAGCTGGTACTTCTCTGCTCTATTCCGACTATCGCAGTCCTTCACCAGAAGCAAAATAGAAATGCAGAAGTTGTAGTGGTGACGTGCTGAAATTTATAACTGCATTTGTATAGTATATCAAATATAATTGCAGGTAAATTAAGCCATTCTCTAGGCTTGCTCTGTTGCATAGATATGTTCGCCTTTTCATGAAGCACTCATAATTGTGGCACTAGCAGCCTTCGAGACATGGACAGAACCTTGTATCGGGTGGCTTTTTATGTTGCCATTCGTTATGACTTGAAAAATCCAAACTTTTGATGTTTACTTCTTGCTTAGGGTTGCCAAAAGCAAGTTGGGAAACTCCCAGAGATTTGGGGGGTAGAGCCTGGGGGAGGACAGGGACCTCAGTGGGGTACACGGCCATAGACTCCATTTTCTCCTGCAGAACTGATCTCTGTAGTCTGGAGATGAGCTGTAATTTCAGGAGATCCCCAGATCCCACCTTGAGATTGGCATCCCCATGCTTAACACACACACACACACACACACACACACACACACACACTGTCTGCAAGTCAAACATTGTTATATTTAGCCAAAGGGCATAACAAAAGTTGATATAATACAGATTCACACAAAAATTAGATTTCATTCCAATACAGGCCTCGTTAAATCGATTAGATTTATAACCTCTGATTAGCTACTTTTGTGCTAACTTTTCACAAGTAATAAAAACAAAGTGCAACAGTTTTTTAATCACCAATAGATAGATCTATGCCACCAAATAAAAACAGTTTTGGCTATATTGACAGTTGCGTCATTGGTTCCAAGGTCTCAAACATAACCAAACCACAATTTCCTATCTGTTTCTCATGGCTTAAGTTATATTAGAATCCTGATGTTCAGAGTTTAGGGTTTTTTTTAAAAAAAATTGCCAAAAAAGAAGACGTTCCTACTTAAGTGAATAATTTTTTTTTAACAGTCATAGCCTAATATGCGTCAGTGGCTTATGACACTGTAAGTAATATATCTTAATACTGTTTTGTTGGGGGAACTGGCTGAATGTTATCTACTGTTCTTTAGTGATATTATCATTTTATGTACCCTACCTGGTGAAAAAGAGACAATAAAGGCATCCTGGAGACAAGAATGTGTTTTGATCTGTACACTGCTAGCCAAAAAAAATTATTCCAAGACATGTTCA